CCTACACTGCGATGTTTGTGTGTGTTCTGAATTAGCTCCATCCACCATGCTGCTACCCACACGTGCCCACGCCCCTGTGTTTGATTACATAACAGCGTCCCCACAGACCTTGGGACTAATTTTATCTAGAGATGGTGGTGTAGATGCCTGGACTCTGCGTCTATGAAATATTAAAACACCTAAATATATGCATAATATTCACTTAGACTAGATATGTTACTCAGCCTAAGATGGATTTGACTCAGTAGACAGTGAAATAAAATGCTGTAAAAGATGCTAAAATACAATAAGAATAAAGACAACTGAATAAAATGAGACACAGAGCTAATAATAAATCCACATGGCTGCCATTTTGAGCCCTTTGGTGGAAACACAAGAGCTCCCTCCAAGTTTTCTGTTCTCTCACAGTAATAAACAGCAAAATCAATGTTGTGTAAAATTGCCATACAGCGCCACTTGCTGGTAAAACAGTGAAACTACAAATGAAAGAAGAAAACATTGCTGACGTTACCATCGCACTAATTAAAAGTAGGGGTGTCAAATTATCGCGTTAATTGCGATTAATTAATTACAGTCATATTTAGCGCGTTATGTTTTTTAATCGCGTTAATCTCATCTTTAATCTCTAACTTTACTGTTTCTGTATGCAAGTTGCTTTATTATAAAACCTGTTTTTATGTGTTGTTGGGACAACAACACACACACAAACACACAAAAAAAAACACATTTATACATTTTTTTATTTCGGTAATTCCACTCATTGTCGGAAACCCACACAAAACGCGCGCAGTAAGAGCGATGTAAACGTCACATTGGCGGCGTCAGTCGCACAATGGACGAGGTCGAACAGCCAGTAGAACAGAGGCAGCAGTGCACAGGTAAAAACGCATTCGTGTTTTGGAAATTATTCTCCCGACGTGAAATATAAAAGAAAATAACAAATATAATATCGCCTACAACTTAAATGTCACTGGTGAAAACAACCTGCATAGACTCATGATGTCTGCACTACTGTCCTATAGTGACCTGCCACGAGGGGACACGCACACAAACACACACAAACACATACACACACCTTCATCATCGTCATTAACCTGAGAACGCGCGGACCACGTTTCCTTCCGTAGACACTGCGCGGACACCGACGTGCTCCCGTGAGCCGCGTGTGGACCGTGTTTTCTCGCTACGCTGCGTAAACCGCGCTTCCTCCTGTGCGCCTCTAAACCAGAACTAACACCAAGACTAAAACCAGGACTAATCCAGTCCAGGACTAAACCAGGTCTAAACCAGGTCTAAAACCAGGTCTAAACCAGGACTAAAACCAGGTCTAAACCAGGACTAAACCAGGTCTAAACCAGGTCTAAACCAGAACTAACACCAGGACTAACACCAGGATTAATCCATTCCAGGACTAAACTAGGACTAAAGTAGGACTAAAGCAGGTCTAAACCAGGATTAAAACAAGGACTAAAACCAGTGATCTCATATATAAAGCATTTCTCTATCAATAATATTTTTAATATGGTTAGGGAAAGACTGGACTTTTTATTGTCTTTAAGTAGACAAAAGTTATTATGTTCAGATTTCCTCGTCTTTGCTACTTTACAGCAAACAGTTTCTAATTCATGGAGACTTGGGCTCAACAGTCAATTTGGAGAGATTTGTTGAACAATAAATGACTTTATAAAGTCACTTTTTTAAATCTATATCAGTCTTTTGATCTGCCACAATAATGTAATAATGAATTTAAATGAAAATACCTCAAATTGAAGGCTTTTCTCAGCAATTTTTAGGTGAGATTAAAATGAGATTAATTAGATTAATTAATTACAGATCATAATTAATTAATCTCTCAATTTTTTTAATCGCATGACAGCACTAATTAAAAGTCTGCAATGTGGTAATAAAGAGTAATTACACAATGAGTTTTCTATAGCTTGGGCAGTTTAATACAAGAGTATACAAATACAGTAACAGATTTATGCGCAGTATGTGTTTGCAACCTGAAATTGCACAGTCAAAAATGTTTTTAGTAAGTACCATCGCAATTGACTATCAAGATTTAACTGGGTCTAAACCAGGACTTTTAGGCTATAAATTGAAGAACATAAACCTAAACTAAACTAGTGATATATCTAAGGAAATTGAAGAGGGTTAATGGACCAGCCAGTCTCTTCAAAATGTTAGATCTCAAACATAAACCAGGGCAAAAATTGAGAAATACTGAATAGAATATAAAATATGCAATTTAGAAAACAACTACATGCCCACAATCAGACCAATTATTAAAAAGCATTATAGTTCTTTCAGCATTCAGGCAGCAGACCAGACGTAATAATAGGAAACATGAATCAGGAATATTGCAAATTCTCTCTGAGTGTCTCTCTCCCTCCCTTTCGCTTTTTCTCTCTCTCTTTCTTCTCTATCTCTCTTTTTCTCTCTCCTTTGTGTGGACCGCTGCCAGCCTTTCAGTCTGTTACCGCGGTCCAGACACTACAGAGTCAGGGCAGGCCTCATCTATCGCTGTCTGACTGCACCAGGCGCTTGCACCAGTCTGCTGCTCTTACCATACGCTCCATAATTAACTCTTGCCCCCCACAAACATCTCCTTCTACAGGCAATATTATTTAATTGGAACGGGTAGAGTCATTTGTCTAAATTACTGTTTATGCCATCCTGAAGTTAAGCAATTATTTTAGAGGGGGCAAAAGATACCAGTAATTTAATGAGGCGAAGGTTCCAATGCAAAATACAGACTCATAAAGAGAGATTATTAACCTACAGGCAATTTTAGGTACAAATTTGAAAAGATGATTCATACAAGAGTTTTACTGTTTGGTTGTGACTGTTCGTTTTCACACCGCTAGTTCGATTATTTGGTTCGCACCAGGCAATAAAATTGTTACTATGTAGCAAATACACTCCAGTGTGTCCGCGTTCACACCGGCAAACGAACCAAAACTGGTTCGATTGACGTGTCTCTGTTTCCCCGGTAAAACAGCGATACTCCAGTTATCAACACCGATGTTCCTGTTAATACCACGGGCCGTCCTCATCTCAAATTATCACCATGAACTCATAAAACCAGCAACATGTAGAACTTTGTACAAAACTCACCGCATCAGCCCAGAGTTTGGGCACCAGCAGCAGCCAACAGCGCTCACAGTAGCGCGCAGCTCCCCAGGACGGGGCTGGGGTCTGGTCCTTGGTCTTCTGTTACAAGTTCGTTGGTCAGATGGTCCGGAGGCTCTGTCCTCCATGTGCTGGTTCCAAACGGTGGCGAGCAAGACCAGTGCTTGATGGACTGAGTCCGAGCGGGTACTTTCGTCTGCGCGCTGTTTCCGTGCGGGAAAAGCAAGAATGCGCTGTGGACTACAGGTCCGGCGCGCTGCTCCGGTTCTCCGCGCTCAAGAACCACGGCTGGTTCCGAGGTGGTGCAGCATCCGGACAGAAGCGTGAGTCCAGTTTGGTTTGTTATATGTTGTTCTGAGCGTCCGTCCTCCGCGCATTTGGTTCTTCTCGGGAAAGCGCTTCCTCAGGTCGAGGCTCCCCGCTCCAGCTCCTCTGAGCCCGGCCTGAACCGGAGCTGCCCCCGCTGGTTCGGGACTCTGGTTTGGATCTAGTCCGACTGTATTTCTCACACTAGGCTAAAAGCAGGGACTTTTTCAAGTTGTATCAATTGAATGGGCGATTGCCTATTGCCGTAAAATTATTTGGTTAATTAAAGCCTAAAATAACAAATGTTGGTTGCTGTGTGTGTGATCACGGGGGACACCGGGTCGTCTCTGTGCGTGTAGGTCCGAACAGGCTTACGCACCCCCCAATTTTGACTCACTCTGGAGCCACACGTTCGCACACTGATACTTGCTCTGATCTTCGTGTGTTACATTCTCTGTATTGGCCATTGTTGGTAAAATAATTTGAAAATGAATCGCGTCTGCGTCTGGACAACAATCTGTTACTGCGCTGGAATCGTACAGCGCGTCATTTCAGGCAGAGGAGACGCGTGTCCCTCCCATGATGCATTTGGAATAGTCCGTTTGTCCATACTGTCTATGGTTTGGACCCGGGTTCGCGTTCACACCAGAGGAACCGCACCAAAGTTGGTCATTTGGTGCGGATTCAAGCGAACCGAGACCACCTCTTTTTTGCGGTCTCGGTCCGCTTGATTTGGTTCGGGTCCGAGTCCGATTGACGCTTTCACACCAACGCAAACGAACCGAACTAACCACTTTTGGTTCGAATGGACCGTTTGGTGCGCACCAAATACTGTCGGTGTGAAAAACACCCTTAGTTTAGTTTTAATTTATGCTAATTTTTTTTTACAATGATTCTAAAACTAATTAGTTAACTTCGCAGATGTATTTGTATTTACTAAAAGCGTGCACACTAAACTTTATTGCACATTGTTTTCGGGGCTGTGTAAGTCTGTGATAAGAGTGTTGATTAACATTGTTTAAAGGTGCATCATGTAACTTTTATGTTGGAGGGTCTGTCACCTGCTTGTTTCTGTGGGTATGTCATTGCTCTGCCTGTAATGTTCCACAGTATGACATTAAACAGCTCTACCTTGCATTTATTCAATTACAGGTGTTTTTTTTGCTCAGAAATACCTAGAAAAGCAGGCATTTTTGAATGTGAGCTGGGTCGCTTCTCCGCAGATCTGACATGTAACTTGGTCTGATTTGGACTCCATGAAGAAATAAAGGTTTAATGCCATACTGTGAAACATTCCCGAAAAACCAATAACATCTCCAGCATGGAGAAAAGCATTTGACAGACCCTCCACCAGAAAAGTTACATAATGCACCTTTAAGTATTAGCTCGTATTTGAATGGCTTTCTATTAATTATTATTACACTATATTACTATTAAAGAACATCATCGATAAATGGGAAATACAAAATGGCCAAACATAATTGAGAAAGATAATTACAACTTATCCTTCATTGTTAGACCCAGACTCCTAATTTAAATTTTTGTTTTCTCTTTCCCTGATCTCTAACTTCTGACCTGTCTGCTCTAGTTAGATGCTTTTGGCAGCTCCACAGTTTTCCTCTTCACGCTCTGGCTGAAGGTTAAGTAGTCCTCAAAGTCCAACTCCACTGACAGGGGCGTTTTCTGCTTCTCAATCTGTGACATCAGCTGACTGGTGCTGGGAGGCTGCCCCCAAACCTGATGGAGAGATGGAGAAGAGGATCAGTGAGGGGCTCAAGAAAAGACCAAACTCAAGACCAAACATAGACTACATTAAAAATACCTAGCCTCAGCTTCAAGAGTTCTACACATATACATGCTTAATTTTGAGCAGTGGTAGAGAAAATATTTACTGAACTCCAGAATTCTAGAATAATATAATAAAATACTGGCTGGAGGTTTATTAAAAAGCATTCTGAGATTTCAGAAACTCAGCATAGAGCAAAAAACTCAAAAATAGTGAATGACAGAAAGCATTGTTACAGAAAGTATTGTTTCCTCACATAAGCAAACTGGGGAATACCGAAAAAGATGGCACCACAAAGAACAGGGTTCAATATACTGCAAGTAATGTTTTTAAAAGTGCTTAAAACAGCTACTTTTGATTCTGGACATTTTGTTGTGGCATAAACGTTGATCATTATGGTGCACCATGTAACTTTTCTTGGTGGACGTCCATCACCTGCCTGCAAATGTGATTGCTCTGTGACATTACACCTGGGGACAAGCAGGTGATATATGGTAATACATATTTTTGCAAACCAAGGGTCTCCAGTTGATACCTTGCAGTGACATCACACTGGAGGTCAGTTAAGATGGTATGGTGACACAATGCACAATGTTCCTGTTAAGGAGGTTGATTTTCAATAAAAAGAAGAGAGTGACTAACTGAAAAACTGTTAGCTAATGCTACTGACTGTAATTTTAAATGTTTAACAACACAAATCAGGTTATCTATTGTGTTCAGATTGTGTTAAAAAGAAAAAAATCTCATATTAAAGTCTAATTTGAGTAACAGTTTCAGACAGAACAGTGCATACAGTCAGCATCACACCTCCAGAGAATGTTGATAACATCAGCTGCAAAGTATCAATAAACATTGTGGTAAAATATATGATAGAAAGCTAAAGCTAAAGACAATATTATATATATAGCCCTGTTAAGTTATACTATAGACTACTAACTATTGTATACTATATGACACTTTTGACTGTGATTGTACGTACAGTTTTTGGCACAAAGGTGATGTCCACAGGGTTGGCCATCCCAGTGGTAATCAGAGCGTTCTGGTGGACGGTGTTGTTCAGTTCTTTTGGATGAGCGACGATCTCAGCTGTGGCAGTGGAGGCACCGGCTGCTTCTGGAGAAAACAACTACAGCAAAAAATTACATTATGAAAAACTAAATAAGAGAAAAATATAATAACACTTAGTAATCAAGACAGTGGGTACAATTACATGGCCAGTGAAAATTAGGTAACTAAAATAACCTTATAATAATCTGATTACTGCTGGGTGTTTACATATATATATATAACTGTTTACATGACATTTTAATAATCTGATAACTCCAGAAATCTGAATAGGGACATATTTTTAATAATGAATATCGTTATGCATACTTATTTTTAAACTTATTATTACCATTAAGATTTTTATGCTTTTTAATTATATTATATTGTGATTTGTGAGCTACTGTGTCCAGATAATTTCACTTGTGGATCAAAAACGTTTGTCTAAGTCTAAGATTAATAATATGCTTATTTCAGACGAGAATCAAAGAAGGCTGATTTATTAGCTCATTGTGTTTTGTATACATCTGTTCTAAATTAACTGTAGCATGTAAAGTCGAAATAAAATAATAAAAGTTCTAAAATACATTTGTGTTTGGACGGTGTAATAATGTGGAATGTGTGTCTTTTACTTCCCTTGCCTGCAGTATACGGTCCTTCCTCATCTGTCTTTCTCTTTACTTCTGTCTCTGTCTGATACCTCTCTGGGATCTAAACTTCAGTTAAATTGTATGCCAAAAACTCCACACTACAGCACTGACTGAATGATTCATATGACATCAGGTTAAAAAGGTTTGTAAAGCAATACATAAGAAGAATACACTGACCAAAGTTACAATAAAGATTTGTGAAGGAGTCTGAGGAAAGGACAATCAAAAGAAAAGACTAACTTGGCCAGAAAACCCTTTTAAAACCTCAAATTAAACTAGTCCTCTTTTTTATTATTGAAAAAAATCAGGATGAAGCTTTCAGTACAGCACTCCAGTATATGTTTAATTATATATAATCAAGACCGCTCTGAGGAAACTGTAAAATAAAAGTTTGAAATGAGAATTTTCAGTTTGATAGGGTCTCTTGGGATCCATTGCCACAATTTTTATGTGAGAACCAGCAGCAAAAAGCACATTTTAGTAGCAATAGGTCTTAGGATATAAAATCGTTTTCTGCTTTGTCATTGCTAAAACTTAATCATCATCAAATATTTTACTAGCCTACATGGAGCCATTTGAACTGCCATTTTGACCTTATGCATCAAACAAAATTATACAGAAGAAGCCGTGTGTGCTCAGTTAATAAATGGCCTTTTAATTCGCTGTTTGACTTTTTAACCGCTCAGATAAATGATTGAAAGTTCCTGGTACTGCAATGAGAAATGCTTTAACAGTCCTTTATTACACAAAATGGACTCTTGTAGTTGTGGTGTTTAAAACGCATACAGGAGCACTTCCTGTATTACTTCATAATATCACAATGTGTTTTTGTTTGAGAGAAAAATTCAGCCTAAATGTGCAGGATTTGTGTGTTAAACATCTGTGAATGAAACAAAACAAAACTCCAGGTGTGTTTTTCATGGGGACACAACATTACCAGATCAGAAAATAGTATAATATGGGCCCATTAAATCCTTTTTACCAACTCAGATTTCCCACAAGCTCAGAGGGGCAAACACATGAGGCCGATTAGCTTCAGATAAATTTTGGTTTCAAATTAATGTCAATGAAAGGTCAGGCGGTATATTGCTTATAACGATGAGTACTCAATCTTCCATGTATTGGAGAAAAAGAAAGGATTCACCCCAGTACAGATATACCGTATAAGCAGCTCTTGAGGTAAAGTTCGTTTGCTGCATGCTGTCTACTTCTAATTGTCAAGTGTTTCATTGTGCAATAACCAGGAAGTGCATGTTAGCTTACTAGTTGTTGCTAACTCTTGTTTCTGAAAGTTGTGAAAAGCTCTTATAAATTCATCACAATGTAACCCAGGTTTATTATACACAAATCTAAGCAATAGCGAATATTCCAGCAGCGACCGGTCATTAAACGCATCACGCGCACGCTCACGTTTTCAGTAAGTCACCTGCTCCCCTCCCTCCATACACACCCGGGAGTGAGGCGAGACAGGACGGCTGCACAGGTATGGAGCTACCATCGCAAATTTTCTCATTGTAACATCGATTGTTCGCAAGCTTACGCTTATTTATGTAATATTACAGGAGCCCTTACCGCAACTATCTGACGTCGAAAAGACCGAATTATATGATAGCTCAGAGGAATTGGTGAGTCTGTCTGTTTTGTTTTGGTTGTTGCCGCTAGCATGCCAATAGCCTCCGCCGCTAACTCATTCATGTATTGCAGGCTATTGGTATGCTAATATCGTCTATTGTTCATTTATTGTTCATGTCATTTTACTACTTGTGTGGACTGAAATACAGTGTACATATGAATTAAGCTAGCTAGCAGATACATTATTAATCAGAGTTACCGATAGCTATGGCTAATAGCTAATCAGCCGAACTGTTTAAACTTAGACTGGTACTGTTATTTATCACAGGCCAGGTGATTTCGGATGAGAAAAACCATCCCGATGGCGAGCTGAACCCAGGAACGTTGCCTACAACTAAAGACACTTCCAACAGTTTCTACGGTCGGGTAGGGGCTGTTGTAGCCAGTCCGCTCCCGCATTATCCCTACGCAACCCGCGTTTGGACAATTACACTTACACACACCTTAAAAGACTATACGCACACTTCTACACGAAGTGCGGACATTAAATTTCACCCTTTGGTTTTGACAATGATAAAGGACATTAACAATCCGTGTATCATTCGTTCATTCATTTTTCAATATAAAACCAAAAATAAGAAAACGAAAAAACAACAGTTTTCTTCGTTATTTGTCTCCAAAACCAAAATGAAAAAACGGATAACGATTCGTTTTTTCAGTTTTCGATTTTGTGTTTAAATGAAGAATGGAAAAAACGGATAACGGCCGTTTCCCGTTTATGTGACTTCCGTGACTGCGATGCCGAACTTTTGCACCGCGTACGGACTGAACCGGGACTGATCCAGGTCCGAGACCAGACCGAGACCAGAGCGGGACTGAGAGCGGGACCACACCGGGACCAGAGCGGGATCAGAGCGGAACTGAGACCGGGACCAGCGGTCCGAGCGGTTCCGTGTCATCGTCTCCGCGCTGGTTCCGTGCGGGACTGAGACCGGGACAGAGCTGCTCTGGTCCTCCGCGCTGGTTCCGAGGTGGTGCAAAGCATCCGACTGACGCTTTCACACCAATGAAAATGAATCGAAATAAGAGCTTTTGGTTCAAATGGACCAGGTCCGGGACCAGACCGGGACCAGAGCGCTACTGAGACTGGGACCAGATCGAGACCAGAGCGGGCCTGAGACCGAGACTGAGACAAGACCAGGACCAGACCGGGACCAGACCGGAGGCTCAGAGCCCACGGCAGGGCCGGAGCTCGAAGCTGAGGCTCGGACCCCGTGGAGGCTCGGAGTCAAAGCTCGGAGTCCGCCCTGGTCCCGCTCTGGTCCCGGTCTGGTCCCGGTCTCAGTCCCGCTCTGGTCTCGGTCTGGTCTCGGACCAGGATCAGTCCTGATTCAGTCCGTATGCGGTGCAAAAGTTTGGCATCGCAGTCACGGAAGTCACGTAAACGGGAAACGGCCGTTATCCGTTTTTTCCATTCTTCATTTAAACACAAAATCGAAAACTGAAAAAACGAATCGTTATCCGTTTTTTCATTTTGGTTTTGGAGACAAATAACGAAGAAAACTGTTGTTTTTTCGTTGTCTTATTTTTGGTTTTATATTGAAAAACGAATGAACGAATGATACACGGATTATTAACAAAGTGCCTTGTCCACCACTCCTGTTTCCCATTGTTCACTTGTATTAACCAAACGTGAGGAAATCTGAAGAGCATTGTAAATATTGTAAATATTGTGTATATATATATCTCTTTCACCTTTTCAATATAAAATACCAACCATATCTCTCTAGTTTGTTGTGCTTTTTACTGTTTCCCTACCTCCCAGAGAGCCACAGCCTAGCCCTATGTTTTCTAGCCTGTACCTACACCAACTCCACCCCTTTGTCCCTTGCATACCCCTTCTTGATATGCTACAACAACATCAGGTTCATTGACTTTAATGTTGTATGAATACTGCATAGAAACAGCACACCAGAAAGAAGATGATACATCACACCTTTATTAGTTGTTGCTTTATTTTACCTTTCCTTTGGCCTTTTGCGGTTTGGCCCCTTTTCCTTCGGGTTTCTTGCCATCCTTTGGTTTGGGAAGGGACTCCACCTTGGCATTGACCAGGTCTATGACTCTGATGTCTGCAAAGGCTTTGGCAATATAAAGGCAGTCTTGTTCTGAAGAATAAAAAATATGGATATGAAATAACTCTTCACAACTACTATTGCATACTATTGTTGTTTCCTTGACACGTTAATGCTTTTGTAGTCAATTATTTTGAGTGATTTTTTTTGTTTTAATATCAACACACAATTGTGAACATTGACCATTTAAAGCCAAAACATAGTGGACATAAACTATGGGATACTATCAAAGTAGTAACAGTAATATAAAGATAAAGTACGCCTTAACTTTATGTATTCATCCTCCTCAAGCCTTTCACTTTTTACATGAACTCAAAGTGCCTTTAACAGACAATGATGTGTACCTTTCTTGTTCTCGGCCATGACGCTGGCCCCTGCTTTGATGAGGTACTCCACAGAGGCAGGTTTGGAGCTCTGGATGGCCCTCATGAGGGGGGTCCCTCCGCTCAGTGCCCGCGCATCTATGGAGGCTCCAGAGTTCAGCAGCAGCTCAATAATGTCCACGTGTCCTGCATGAGCCGCATGGTGCAAAGGGGTCCAGAAGAACTGGTCACAAGCATTCACATCAGCTCTGCAGGGAAAGGATCAGTAAGCAGCAATTTAGCAATTTCACCAAAAGTCACAAAAACCCTTTGTGCCGTATCATACATACATCAAAATACAATCTATATTCTTTTACTGTAAGGTGTGATTTAGTGTTAACTTATTAAAGATATCTTTTTTAAAAATGAGTTTAACACCAACTCTTTTTAACTCTAAAAAGTGAAGCAGGAATAAACTTTCTATTTCTCCTCATTTCACGCTACACTGTCCTGTCAGTCTAATCCTATGAAAAAAAGACCCAAAAAATCTATCACATACTGACCCTTGCTTGAGCAGATACTGAACCATCTTGAGGCTCCCATTCTGACAGGCGATCATCAATGGAGTCTTGTAGAACTCATCCTGAACATTTACAGACACGCCCTGGGAGAAGGCCAGGTCCAGGGACTCCAGGTCTCCACTCTTCACACAGTAGCTCACATTTATAAACACTTTATCAGGCCTCTCTAAGTACCACCCTGAGTCATTCACTATAGGGTGAATGGGTGGGTGGTCTTTGTCAAATCTGTTGATGTCGGAGCAGTTATGGTACGTTTCAATCATGAACTGTGGTGGTCCTCCGTCCGGTCTCCTTGGTTTGAGCTCAGGCGTTAGTGTGCAAATGGGCATTGGGAGGACAAACTTAGCTCTCTTCTTGCCTCCTTTTCCACCTTTCTCTTTCTTCTTCTTGGGCAGGTAGGTGGACAAAAGGTATGGCTTCTCGATGTACTTAGATCCTTTGATAAAGTCGTTTACATTGATGAATCCTAGTTTGGCTTTGTCGTGCATTGAGATGACTTGGTGGAGTTGTAAAATTTCAACAGGAGCTCGGACTTTTTCTAAGACTGCGATGAACCTATCAATGGGAAAAATGTCCTGAGATTCAAACGCCTGTCTCAGTTCAGTCTCGTAGACATTGGACCAGTCATGAAGGCTCAAAGCCCAAGGGTCCGACAGCAGGCCCACAGCGCTGTCTTTGTTTCCTTTCCCAAACCGTTTTTCAGCTTTACGCAGTTCTTTGGCTGCAGCTTTGGCACCGAGGTCTTTGGCAATCTGTCGTGGAATAAGACCCTCCAGGTTTTTCAGTTTAGGGTTACAACCTACAAAGAAATATGTCAGAATTTAAGGTGGAATCAATATGACAAATATGGATGGTCGTCAGTATGTCTGTAATTTTGTACAAATTAACCATGTACGTTGATTTCACTGAACTTCTTTCCATTTTATGTGTCATAGGTTGTAATAGATCATCTACGTGATTTAAAGACCTGTGTGGTTTTTCTGAAGGGACGTATTCCACTTGTCTCCATGGAGATGCCAAAGCTTTGCCTTGAGTCTTTCACAGTATGGCATTAACAGTATCTATCTTGCATTTAGGTGTTTTAACTGCTCAAAAACAGTATCTCCACAGATCTGACCTGTAATGTGATATGATGGCATCACCCGCTAGTCTCCATGGATATAGAAAAATACAATGCCATACTGTAGACCATTCCAAGCAAAGCAATAGAATCTCCATGGAGACGAGTATGTAGTCTATGCTCCTGAAAAGTTATTATTTAAGAGATATTGATGCTGAAATAAATATTGCAATATTGACCTCGTTGTGCCAATAACTTGCAGCAGTTGGCATCTCCAGTGGCTGCTGCAAAGTGTAACGCGGAGCAGTCCTCCAGGCTGACCACCCCCATGTCAGCCTTATATGCAGACAGTACTTTTATCACCTGCAACATAATAGCTGTATAAGCACTGTGTACAGTAAGTCGATAAAATAAAATCCATCTATTACTGACGGTTCTGAATCTTTGAAATATGCTTACTGCAGTTAGCCAGGGTAAGTCTATTAATATACAATGAGTGAGTATAGCAGCTTGTATGGAGAAGTGAGTATACACCTCAAAGAAGCCCCCCATGGCAGCATAATGGACGGCGGTGTGGCGCTTTTTATCGATGGCGTTGGGGTTTCCTCCTCTCCTCAGAATGGACCTGACCAGCTGCAGGGAGCCTGCTTTCGCTGCCTCCATCAGTGCAGTCACTCCAGTTTTCTACAAAAGAGAAGGATTCTGATGCTCACAGTCATCTCATTCTTCTAACTTCCTCTGTTATTTGGCTTTCCATTGAATAAAGAGCTAAGATGTGAGAATTAGAAGCTAAAATTATAGGTATAACCCAGATAGCCTGAAACATGTAAACATTGAAGCCACTGTTAAACAGCCTGCATATTATCAAATATATCATTATGTCAAATTTTCTCTTTTATGTTGTGAGAATATTTTTGTTTCTAATTGATATGACAATGGGCCAAGTCTTTCATCATTGCAAGACCCATGGAAATTCTCTTTAAATGCATAACCCCGGCCAGTTTATTAAAATACACCATCTTTTGGAGTCTGTACCTGGTCAGCAGCATTGGGGTCTGCGCCCCCCTCCAGCAGCAGCAGACACTTAGGGGTACACTCCAGGGCGTTCTCACACATGAGCTGGAACACGTGGCTTCCCGAGGCTGACACGTTGTTGACATTGGCGTGGTGCTTCATGGCCGTCTGCAGACAGCGCGTGTGGGACTTGGTGGGATAGATACAGTAGAACAGCACACCTGAAGGTAAAATAAATAAACAAAATGTTAGCATTTTACTCCCATAAGACTCCCATTTTTGGTTGTCAGCGAGATATAGTTCAGCCCTTGGAAGAAAAGAGTCCTGTTGATCATATTGATCTTAACAATTTTAAATTTCTTCCTTATTTCTTCAGTAAAATTGCTTTCAGAATGAATTTCATGGAGGAGACCTTGAGTTTCGGTTAGTCAGTGGAATTTACCACAAAAAATCCAATTTATTCCACTAAAGTCTGAACCCTGCTTCAACTCAAAGGATTGGCTGCAAAACAAACTTAAAAAACAGATCACAGCTATTTCGTGTTTATTAAATTTTGAATGTAAAATTCGGGGGAATAGTTAAGCCCTGTTTAATTATTCTCTAGAATGGACAGTATAGTATCAGCGCTTGATGGTGTTGTACAATTTAACGTGCAGAAAAATTCTGAAAATCAAATAATTCTGTCTTATATAAGAAAGGTACGTACCAACTAACTACCAAGTGTTGCATGCAGTTCATTTGGCCGTATGCATTTCATTCTTTATTTTCACAACTACATGTATTATTCAGATATATTAATATATTTGTTACACAGAAGACAAAGTTGTAATCACACATAACTGGCTCTTTATCAGGTCATGTCAAAGTATTAAGCGCTCATCCCACAAACAAAGGCTTCATGTAATGTAATGTAACCCTGACAGGCCTCCAGTCCTTCTGACAATGGACTGGTTTAAAGTTACTGCTTCAGTTCTACACCACAGGATCCCCAGCAGCCCTGATCTGTAATTAGATGTACTCAACGCACAAGCACAAATCATATGTTGTAAGTAACTATGCCTAAACTATAATGGGTTTTGCAATTTTATCTACAAACTTGAGGCAAAACCCCTTCTAAGCTTTACTTTTCACTTCCAGTTCTTGTAATAGTAGCTCCGGACACAGGGTAATTGGAGTAATTATGTCAATTAGCTTAAAAAGAAGTCTGAATAAAAAGATGGGGCCCCTCTAGGAGTCGTCTGGGATACCTCATCAATATCTAAAGAGAGGGTCACTGTGCATTCTGATGAGCTGTAAGACAAGGCAAGACGTTCCCCTGACATGTAACAGAAAACAGCCCTCTGCCAATGACCTCACAGTGAAACACACACTGGGAGTCAAATACGGGTTAGTCCAGGCTTGTCTTACTGACCTGCAAATGATGAGCTTAACAAAACCTATTTTTATTTCTATTGCCATTAAGATACTTTGCATGAGAACTTCTGAGCTTCAGATGTAACTTTGCATAATTTTTACTGTTACTATTTATTCAAAATTCAAAACAGAAAATAAGAAGCCACATGCATCTACTTTACCCTTGGGCTTGGAAATATGACCAAAAAATATAAATTCATATTGATCAATCATGACTATACATTCAATTTAATTTAGTTTTGTTAAACATAAAAAACTGTCTCAGTGTTAATTTCATAAACAATACAGGTTTTCATCATTACTACTGCACACTTCAAAGTCTGAACTCCAAACCTCATTCTTTTAATGACAGAGGATTAGCAGAAGACCTCTCAGTTAAAAAAAAACAAGCTGGTTGATTATAAATGACTGAATCCTAATTTGACCATAACAGTATGCATTACTAAGCTCTACTTTAAGATGTAATTTGAACTAAATCAAGGTATCCATTTTGTCCAAGAACCACAATATAGAAACTCAATAATTGATCATCTAAACAGGTTGATTTTGGACTTTCCCTCACCTTTCCCTTCAGAATCCAAAAGTGTCATATCTGCGTGATGTTGGGCGAGGAGAGCCACTATGGCCTCATTCCCGAGCTCTGCAGCCATCATCACTGGGGTAACACCCTTCTTGTTCTGTACGTCAGGGATAGCTCCTTGGGACAGGAGAAAACTCACCAGCTCTATAACAACACAGGCATCAAGATACTGTTCAAAATGGGATGCTACAAGCTAGTAATAAGCAACTATTATGATATAATAGTTATTTGGATAGTTAGTATTTTTAGGCAGATAGACAGATAGACAGACAGACATAACTACATAACACACTTTCATTACAAACATACAAACATAATTATGCATGCACTGCAACTGAATTTACTCTCTTTATCTCTGAGGGAAGGCAGGCAGGGACATATAATGAAAATAATGAAAGCTATAACTTAAATAGCTTGAACTAAGTAGGTACAATATTACAAAGCCACCATTAAGCAGTCTTACACAACAGCAATTATATCATATTGTGCATTTTCTCTTTTATATTGTGAATTTCCTATTACCATATCACCCTGCCCTAGTATAAAGTTACATTAATACATCTATCCATCACCCTGGTTGTTTGCAGCCACTGCCACATGCAGCACCCCAGTCCCGTCCTTGGGCTCGGTCAGGTTGATGAGGCCATCAGCTCCATACTCCAGCAGGCTCTTAATCTGCTCCCTGTCGTTTTCGTGGGTGCACTGAATCATCTTATAGATCTGCAGCACCTCCAGGCGCCCCTCGGGCTCTCTGCTCGTCATGGTGAGGGCAGAAAAGGCTGGAGAACAGAGAGAAGAAGAAAAAACATATTATTTATATGGGTTACTTTACAATTATTCATTCATGGGTTCAGAATGATGAAAAATTGTTGGAAGAGCATTTCACAATTTAAAAATAATTTGTTCTGAACTGAGAAAAGTCCTAAAATGTTGCACATTAGCTATAAAAAGACGAAATCCAAGAATAAAGGTTAAATATAGCTGCAAGCTGATTGGCCACAGTTTGTGTGAATTATCTATCACTCGTTGAAATTTGGTGGCGAGCCGCAAAAACAAACGCGAAATTTGCACCGTTGCCACGGCAACACCGTTTGACCTTTAAAAAAGCTTTTAACAACTTTTAATGTCCCACTTGTCTAGATGATACAGAATGATTCTGGTGAGTCTGGGTCAAACGCCCTAGGATGAGTTCGTTCAAGTACGAGGACAGGAAATTGTCCCTTCGGCGCCAGGTTGCACGTTCGATTCAATATGGCGTAAATTCCTATTTTGGCGATCTTGAATTTTGTGCAAAATTTCGTGAGTTTTCGTCGGCGGGAAGTGTGTGAACTGTGCCAAAGTGGTTAGAAAAATAATAACTAGACCAGGACTAAACCAGCACTAAAACCAGGACTAAAACAGGACTAAAACCAGGACTAAACCAGGACTAGAGCTAGACAGGGGACACAGAGCTCAAAACTGGGACTGTCCCGGGGAAACAGGGACGTCTGGTCACACTAGTCCAGGGGTCTCAGACTCACGGCCCTCGGAAGGATTTTTTGCGGCCCTCCACTTAATTTCAAAGAATAATGTCAGTGCGGCCCCCCTACCCCCTACCGCGGGCCACACTGACAGATGAAGCTGCAATCAGTGGCCATGCAGATTCACAACAGATTATTAACGCAGTTTACATCCCAAAACTCAATTTCCAGCAGCTGTGAATCAATGAGTCTAAGTGGATCTGTTAATACGAGTACACGTGCACATACGGCGTTTTTTTCGTTCAACCGCTATTTATCGAATACTCAATGCGGCCCAGCCTCACTCAGACTTTATCTAATGTGGTAATTTGAGTTTGAGACCCCTGCACTAGTCAAACTATTGTTTACAGTTTAACCTCAACAAGTTTGAAGTGACTTTCACCTTTACTTATGTCCCCTGGTCTCAAAAATCTTAGCCCAAAAAAGTCGTCAAACTGGAAAAGTCGTGTTTGTGGTTTCTTTGGGATGCTAATGCTAATAGCTAATAGTTTCAGCTAGTCTGCTTCAACAGTTAGATAAACATTAGATAAAAAGATACAGAAAACCAACATTTCACTTCTTCAAAACTTACCTTGAGTGGGAACCTTTTTCTGAACGGGGCTTGCCACACTGCCTATGGCGAATTTGTAGATTTATGAAAAAAGTGAAGTAAACTGAACAAAATGTGCAGCTAATACTTCGCTCCGATGCTAAAAACTGTCTGATAAAACTCTTAAAACAACAGTAACACGACGTGATACGAGAAAGTCTAACGCAGCCTGTCTCTTCCAGTGTCTAACTGTAAATGCAGAGTCACGTGTCCCTTCATGGTGTCTGAGTAAATTCTGCGCCATGGCAACAGCTTTGATGTCAAAGCACGGAACATTCTATCAAAGCGCAATTTAAATGTCAAAGGTCAAAGTTCGTTTTCAGTTCTTCACACAATAGTCATATCATAGAAATATAATAAAATCTGTATGTGAACCCAAAATGGCGTCGTATTGTTTTCAGCGGTCTGTTTTCATTGACACATGTGCCCAAAACAAAATTTTCTCTTCAGCATTTACTTCCTCAGTACGAGCGAGCTCCTCCCACCCGTGTGACATCTGTTTTTTTGTTTATTTATTTATTTATTTTTGTATTTCTTTTTTGTGCACGTAAAGCAGATGTCACAGGAAGAAAGGAAAAAAAATTAATAAAATTAGCAGTAATGTAATGTGATCATTGCCCCCTCCCCCCAACCCCCCGTCTCAATACCATTAGAAAGGAAAGGTAAATAATAATAATAATAATAAATATAGATAGATAGATTTATTTATTGTCATTGTATGAAATACAACGAAACTTCAGCAGAGCAGATCTGTAGCAGTAAAAAATTTACAATATATAGCCGCAAGCAGCGATGATCGGCCCTCGCTCGAGCCTACGCCGCGCCCACGCCACGCCGCACCTCGACCACGCTGAGCCCTGCACATGCCGTGCCCCACGAATGCACCTTACCCCTTGATCTAACTCCTAAATTAACCCTAACCCCGAAACCCACCTGAACTCCTAACTGTAGCCCAGACCTTAGGCCGAACCTTACCCCTAACCTAATCCTAACCTTAACCTAATCTTAACCGAACTGAGGTGTAAGATGGTGGACTTCTGGTTTGGCAGGGGGGCGTGGTCACAATATACTTTTTTGTTCCTAGTCCCATGATGCATCTGTGTACCAAATTTGGTTTGGCTATGCAAAAGTTTTTATTGGGCTGTCCTATTGGTGAGGTCAGATGTTTGGCCTGTTGCCATGGCAACACGATAAAAAACGGTGTGGGGGTATCTTTGACTTTTTTGATCGAAACCATGTCACAAATATGTGTACCAAATTTTATCAATCTAGGACAAAGTAAAATTTTGCTGTTCAATGCAATTTCCCTAGGGGGCACTATTGCGTCCACTTGAGATTTTCTTATATGAATCTGTTCAGGGTCGGGGTGTCCACCAACGATTAAAGTTTGAGTGAAATTGTCCACGGTTTGTGTGAATTATCACTCGTTGAAATTTGGTGGCGAGCCGCAAAAACAAACGCGAAATTTGCACCGTTGCCACGGCAACACCGTTTGACCTTTAAAAAAGCTTTTAACAACTTTTAATGTCCCACTTGTCTAGATGATACAGAATGATTCTGGTGAGTCTGGGTCAAACGCCCTAGGATGAGTTCGTTCAAGTACGAGGACAGGAAATTGTCCCTTTGGCGCCAGGTTGCACGTTCGATTCAATATGGCGTAAATTCCTATTTTGGCGATCTTGAATTTTGTGCAAAATTTCGTGAGTTTTCGTCGGCGGGAAGTGTGTGAACTGTGCCAAAGTGGTTAGAAAAATAATCATAAATATAGCCGCAAGCGGCGATGATCGGCCCTCGCGTGCGCTCACGCCGCGCCCCGCAAACGCCGCGCCCCGCAAACGCCGCGCCCCCCAAACGCCGCGCCTCACACTGACCCTAATAATCCTAAACTTAAACCTTACCCTAATCATAATCCTAACCATAGCCCCAACCCTAAACCTAAAAATCTTAAATTTAATTTTCTGCAATTTTCAAAATTTGGCAAAAAAAATAAATAAAATCCAAGATGGCGGACTTCCGGTTTGTAAAGGGGCGTGGTCACAATATACATTTTTGTTCTTATTGCCATGATGCATGTGGATACCAAATTTGGTTTGGCTACGCCAACGTTTGTGTAAGGACGTCCCATTGGCAAGGATACAATTTTGGCTTGTTGCCATGGCAACACAATGTAAATGGGATGTGAGCATCATTGAGTTTTTTAATCGAGACCATGTCGCAAATGTGGATGCCAAATTTTGTATATCTGTGACAAATAAAACCTTATTTTTACATACAAATTTTCCAGGGGGCGCTATTGCACCCATTTTTGTATTTTCTTACATCAATCTGTTCAGGGTTGAGGTGTGAACTCATGATTAAAATTTGAGTGAAATCGGCCAAAGTTTGTGCAAATTATCACTCGTTGAAGTTTGATGGTGAGCCCCAAAAATAAACCTGAAATTTGCACCGTTGCCACAGCAACACCGTGTGACCTTTTAAAAAGCTTTTAACAACTTTTAATGTCCCACTTGTCTAGATGATACAGAATGATTCTGTCTGGGTCAAACGCCCAAGGACGAGTTCGTTCAAGTACGAGGACAGGTAGCACGATCAATCCAATATGACCGACTTCCTGTTGGTTGCCTAGCAACCGCGTAATATACTTTTTTGTTCCTATTCCCACGATGCATCTGTGTACCAAATTTGGTTTGGCTACGCCAAAGTTTTTGTCGGGCCTATTGGCAAGGGCAGATGTTTGGCCTGTCGCCATGGCAACACGATGGGAAATGGCATGGGGTCGTCATTGACTTTTTTGATCAAGACCATGTCATGAATCTGTGTACCAAATTTTATATGTGTACAACAAAGTAAATGTTTGCACTACCATGCAATTTCCCTAGGGGACGCTATTGCGCCCATCTGAGATTTTCTTATATAAATGTGTTCAGGGTCGGGGTGTCAATCAACGATTCAAATTTGAGTGGAATCGGCCAAAGTTTTGTGCCAGAATTTGTAGATTTTACCAATGGAGAGTTTATGCCATCGCTATGGCAACGCCATAAAAAATATGACATGGGTGTCATTGACTTTTGGATCAGGATGCCAAAATGGAATTTTGTGCAAAATTTCAGAAATTTTTGAGCAACTATTTGGGAGCAAATGAATTTTTTCCATATTAAATTTTGTTTCAATCTATAGGGGGCGCTAATGCACCAAATTCATAATTTTCACATGAAGTAGCTTCAGGGCAGAGAGTTTAACAAATGTTTCAAATTTCATTGAAATTGGAATTCGTTTGAGCAAATGGGAGCAATTTGTAAATGTCCAAAATTGTGAGCATTTTTTGTTGCTTCACTGCTCAGAGATCGTGTGTGAACAATTTGGATAACTTTTATTGTTCTACGTCTTGAGATAATGTGGACCAAATTTGAGCTCGTTCGGGTGAACGCCCTCGGAGGAGTTCGTAAAAGCTTAGCAAACTTTAAGCCAATATTGCTGCCCCCTAGTGGAGCACACGGTGTTGGCGTAATAATATTTTTTCCTTGTCTTGACATGATCGACTTCTGTGTCAAATTTCATGATTGTACGTGCAAGTTTTTTTTTTTGTGTCATTCGTATTCCCTAATGCATTTTTGAGTCGTTTGGTGGCGCTGACGTACGGTAGCCGACGGGGGCCAAACGCACTGCAACAGCTCAATGTGTCTCATTTAGAGTAAACAACTTCAAGTACAGAAACGATGCAAATTCACAGGGTCAAACACAAGTTTAAACGAGGTACAAACAAAAAAAAGTGGTGCAAATGAAAAAGAAAACGCGCTGCAAGAAACAAAGACAAATGCATCATCATCAAATGCGCTGCAAATAGAGAAACGATGCAAAGCGCGAAACAATGAAAACCAAGAAAACACCTGCAAAAGAAAAACGCTGCATAAAGAGTCACCACAACGGAAGTGCTCCAAACCTGCAGGGGGCGCTCAGTAACAGTGTCCGCGGACCGCAAAGGCCGTGCTGAAATGAGACAGGTGTAGTTATTTTATTAGATGCTAACGCTAATGCTAACAACAGGCACCACACAAATTACGTACAAAAATCGGTAAAAACATTACGCATGGGTACTCAAACTGTAGGAGAGCAAGTTATTCTAATAATTCTCATCCAAATCTTATGGCTGAAAGCGAAAACTTGTGTTTAACTTTTGCAAAAACAAAATGGTTTTATTTCTGGGATACATCTAAAATAGACTAAATGACCTTAAAGTTTCAAAAACTGTGATGGGATATGCATTATGAAGTATGTTTCTATTGATAAGTGATTACATTTATACCGGGAATGCATTTACGTCAGTTTATTTAAAAAAAGACATCTCCTTTGAGAAAAGATGATTTATTAAACAATCATAGGAACTTCGGGAAATAGTCATAATGTGAATAGTCAGACATTAAACCCATTACACACACAGTGCATTAATAGGTTTGTACAAACAACTGTATGTCAGCGTACTCTCAAATTGTTACCTTTTTACTGAGCCAGGTGACAGTTGAAAATGGACAAATTATCTTTGCAAAGTGACACTGTTACTGCAGACTAGACTACTAGACTGCTCTGGCTTCAGGTCATTTCCCTTAACCAATCAAAGTCTGTGTCTATGATAGAGATAACCAGACAAAATCAAACAATCAGCTGAAAAGATTGAAGACAAGACATTAAAGCTCAAAAAAATACATTCCTGTGTTTGTTTCTACTCTCCAATCGGAGTACTGTTCTGGATGAAGTGTCCCAGTACACGTATACAGTCCTAGAAACCTCCAATATCACTGCATAACTGCAGTACAATAGTAAATTCTTATAGTGCATGTAATCAGTTACTACCAAAAGAGACCCCAAATAAATGGCACATTTCACCATGAAACAAATGTCAGTATAGACGAAAAACATTCAGATAAACTTATGAGCAAATGATGTTTTCAGTTTTGTCTCACACACTTGGTAATATCATATAAGGGCACATTTATCATGGTACACTGCCTCAGTGATGAAGTTGTTTAGGTGCTCC